TCATAGAAGCGTAAATAAATACTTGGTTTCATCTTAGAGCCTCTGCAGATCTTGTGCTGCATCCACCGTTCAGCAAGAGGTATTTTTACTTCTCAGCTGGCATTATCTGTGGCAAAGGTAGCATCATACCTGACCTTTAAAGGGTGGAGGCTGGGAATTCCTGCTCTTTTAAGTGTAATTATATACAATTATTTTTTTTTGTGCAAGCTTACACAAACTTACAGAGTGTTAAATTAATAAAACATTCATCCTAGCTTCACGTCGCCTCAAGTCTTGAACCCGACACCGCCTCGGGTGGATTGCTGCCGAGGGCAGGCGCGCTCTTGCTAGCTCAGGAAGAAGGCGAGAGGGTCTGGGTGAGCCAGCTGGAAAAATGACCCATGTTTTCCCCAGTCCTTAAGCAACAAGATGGCGAAGCGAACGTAGAAATGCAGCCAGCAGCTTCATCGGGCTAAAAACCTGTGGGCGCACAACCTCATGAGAGAAGATCAATCCCACCCTGATGCTTTTACTGAAAGCTGCTGCGACCGCAGCCCTTCCGTGACATGATTGCAACGCCATGTCCAAAGGTCTCCTTCAACGCAGATACAATGGACCGTGCGTGATGCTTAGGGAGCCGAGCAGCGCTGCCGGGACGTGGGCTCTCTGTTTCGGGGGCAGCTGGCTGCCTGGTGAAAGCGAGGTTTGGGAAGCCGGGGGTGCGACGGGTCCCGTTAAGCTTTTTTTGGTTGGGGACAAGCTCCAGCTCAGGCACTGCCTCCCGCACCTCCGCCCAGCTTGGATTTAGAAAGAGGAAATTAACACACAAAAAACTAAATATTTATATTATCTTTTAAAAAGAAGATATTTAAGACACTGGCCTGGTGCGTTGGACTGCGAAATCTATTTTAAGAGGGGAAAGAAAGGATACATTCAGCATGTAAATCTAGTTTTTTGTGGTATAGGCTTGCCCAGAGAGCGTCCGGCAGCCCAAGCCTGGCTGAAACCCACACAAGTGCTGTGAGAAAGAAGGAAACCATTTAGGGAAGTTTGATCCGGGCTCAAGGGATTAACCGCGGGGAAGGGGCAGGGAGAAGGGGGCCTGTAAAAATAATTATAAATCTCGAGAAGTGCATGCTTTAACTCAAAATGTTGGGAAAAAAACGGCATGAATTCTGACTAGAAGCTGTGGGTTTCCCTGCTGAGCTTATTTCACTGCAAAGAGCAGATCCAGGCCACCGCTACGTCTCTCTGCGCTGCTCTTCTAGGTCCGGTCAAGGCTCCAATTACTTAATTTCCTTCCAATTCACAGCTGGGTAAAGGAGCAGGATTCGGTTTGGGTCAAAGGCGCCTGCTTCAATCAGCACCTAACGAGGCTGCGGCGCAT